CAATTATTAACGAGCACTCAGCACGGATGATATAACGAGAAAAATATAACCATACGTGAATTGATTAACTATAATGAGATACAAGTATCTCGATTAATAGTTACGGTTGTACATTTCATTTATTCTGATTGTATTATTCGAGTCTGGTAAAAAAAAAAATTGTACCGTCTAAGGTAAGACCAATGCGATTCATATGTAAAATGGTGAGTCGAAAAACTATCAATTTCATTGGTATGTGGTCCCACGAGTGAAATTAGCCGAGCGTCAATTTGAGGGAATTAAGCGAGTTAACGGAGCGCGAGTGGTTCGACGACTTAAATTGCTCCGATGAACCGGTCCCCTTTTCGCGAAGTAACCAGGACTTTAATGTTCGACAGTATAAATCGAGGAATGGGACAAGCCGATCGAGAGCAGGTAGGTATAGATGATGCTGCCCAAATGGCCGAACGATGTAGCCAGTGAATTTCCTCTGGACGACCGTGAAAGAGCAAGATCAGAGAGGACCAATGGGAACGGAAGAAAATTCAGTGAGTAGTTAATTAGAATTTTTACCTCTATCCTAGTAATTTTCACGTAGGAATATCGTGTTACGTAACCCCCTGTACGGCGTGTCGTTCACGCGTCTACCATTTTGGACGATACCTTCGCTTTTAGATACAGCTATACTGTGTAACGACTTGGTTGCTACTATGTATCGTGTTGACCGTGCGAAACTTATGCTTGAAATGGCGGCAGCGATTTTCCGAAAAAGGAAAAACATGCACGACGCTTCGGATAATTCGCAGGCCCAAGGGATCTCGCCACTATAATCATTAATGATGACTGACTGAATTAAATTATCTATAATCTACCGGACGATCACTCCGATAGGTGGCCAAGAATCGAAGAACGTGACCTCGTGTGTACGCTCATGGCTACCTACTTCAGTGGGTCTCATTCCGATACCGTTACCTTCTGATGATCAATGAAGATACAGTAGAAATTAATGAAGCACGAGAGTATGGATGATTATGAAAATTCTTTAAATCAAGCATTACGTGTCACGGTGCTAAAAGCCTGAAGATGTATTTGTATGGGCAAGTGTTGTATAATTGCAAAAAACAATATTACTCTGAACTCCTCAATTAATTAAGGAGAAATACGAATTAAAATCTTAGTCAAATTGAATGAGCGCGAGTGCCAATGGAAAAAATGTGAAAGCATGCAGCATCCGAGTTCAGGTAAAAACGTCCATTGGCTTTGGTACGTAAAAGCCGCAGGTCGTGTAGCAATTTAGTCGTTTAACCGCAAAAATTATTGTTATCGAAACTCCAGGCTCTTGTACGCTTGAGCGTAATGGCTGGCGGCCATTGTCCGACCGAGTGATTCTTAGCAACTTGCTTTTACAATTCAAGTGGTTAGTGTAATAGCGAGTTATCCCACGTTAAAACGAAAGATTCATGCGCTACGAGGCATTGGGTCATCGAAATATCGGTACTCGACATCACCATCAAAAAAGTTGTTCACACAAAAAAATATTAATCTTAACTTTTTTTCAAATTTTACAATTTTCAAATTTAAATTGCGATCATCGCAAAAATAAAATTTTTCGTACGTAAACAACAACATATTTTATTCCCGTGAATAGCATCGTCAGCATTAGCAGCAATAATTTCTCGTGCGAAAAAAAAAAAAAAAAAAAAAAAAAAAAAAAAACCCAAATCAAAGTTCGACATTGGAGGACGCACATCCGCAATACAAATCCAGCATCCAAGGAGAACGGAAAGCCATTCAAAATTTACGTCCCACGTATATGTATATGCATGCAGACAAAATGAGGACACACTGAGAAAGATCAGGAAGGCGTTCGGCAAACACCATTAAAATTTTCGCTTTCGAAATACACATACGAAGAGACGTAACGTAATATAGGCCGAGCTGAATCTACCTACCAGTGGGCTCCGCAGTTATTTCACAGATTTAGTAGGCACACAAAGGCGGCGCGTGCTGATAATGCTACTTTAACCACCCCTCGCAATTCCCTAACCATCCACCGCAGCACCCTCTCGCGCAATACAGAAAAAAAAAAAATACCTGTTTACATTTTTTTCTACCGTTCCTTATTATTCACACGATCGCCACAAGGTAAGTCGATACCAAAAAGAACGTCATACGCGCCACAGTAAAATCTACTGAATCCCTACCGAAGACCACCTGTATAATACGAGAACGGTAGGAGCATTCATATGTATCGCGATCGTTTAAATTATCAAGCGGCAAATGGCCGCGCTGCGGAGGACGCAGCTGTCGGCAGGTTCACCGTCTGGGAAAACAAGATAAACCTAATTGGGTATCGTTCAACATTTTTCACCGAGCAATGGAAAAGAATTAAATGAAGAACGAGGCATGGTCGGCGCCAGATGGATAACCTGCAGTTTATATACCGCGAGAAATAAAATCTCAAGGACGACGTTGATCGAAAAGTACGAGATACGCGGAGAGCCCTATACGTATGGCAGATCCGTGGTTATTGTGAGAGGAGAGAATTGAAGGAAAAAAAAAAAATAATAGAAAAAAATAAATTAATCAAGTATATCCACCTACTCCGATACACCTATTCCTTATTCGTTGTACGTCTACTTCATTCGACGTGCGAACCGACCTTCTGGACAACACGAATCGCGAGCAGTGGACGGATGCCCAGTTTGTTACATGTATCCGCCGTAGGGATAATTACGAAAGGAACGAGGCATTTTCTCAGATTGCGGGTTGGCCGAGTGCAGCTGCCCATTACGATTAGCGAAGATCCCTTGGCGAGATAATGAGATGCGTGTTTTACAAGGGCAGACTTCGATCCATGATACATACTGAACAATAAAATCCTCATAGGATCATCGAGGGTTCATACAAGAATGCCTTATTAATAAAGGTGGACATGAAGGGGGCCGAAAAAAAATTAACCATACAGAGACCTCAAAAAATATAGAAGTTAAAGGATACAGGGATAAAAATACATATATACCTACGGTTACTCGATTATACGATAAAAGATTTGAAAAAAATACGTAAAATCATCGATCAGAGGATACTCGGACTTAATAATGAGATGATTAGTTTGGGTACGGAGAGACAGTGAATTTTTTTCTCCTCGACGGGTGGTACTGCTTAATACAAGCTAATAGGTAGTGTATGGTGGTCCTGAAGGAGCGTAAGCATTTGTTATCGGTCCGAGTACGTAAATCGAGAGCCGCCACGGTGTACATAAATCAGAGAAGGGTTCTTTCGCGAAACTCGAGCGCTCGTAAATCGACGAACGCCGTTAGCCGTGCCGCTAATTCACCGGATCTAAAAACTGTTTAGATCCGGGGGACTTCACGAGCGGCGACAATTCATACCCGATTTATATACCGATACCTACCGCGTGTGAACGCAGCCATAATTTACGAGGTCGCGAATCCTGACAAACAAACCGTCCGGTACTCCTACACTTATTCAAAACGTGTTTGCACGCTTATTACTTTTGGCCAAGTAAAGGGTAATGGCACGAGTGATTGGTACACGTGTAATAATTCCAGCAGATTAGAAACGCTACGCCAGTCAGTCATGATACCGAAACGAATTGGCATCTCCGTGAAGATAGGTATTATTGTATATATACACGCAATATATTTTCTTGACCCATAAACCATAGAAACAAGTTCTCATGACAGCCCTCTCTCATATACGCCACATGGAAACGAGTCAGCAGGCTCGAGCGACCCTTGAACGTCCAAACTGTTCTTCACTATACACGACGTTGAGAGCCGCACGGCGAACCTGCGCCCATACACCAACCGTATACTTCTGCCCGTGCAATGCTCCTATAGGACCAATAGGGCTATACGGTAAGATCGAAAAGATCAATTGTGATACCAATTTGCTGGGTTGACGATGATCAAAGGAGGAACGCACGCGAGTCGAGCGTGCCTCGCTGAAAGGACTTCGATGATTTGTCTTACCGGAAGAGTCAAAAGCGGGGTTCGAATGGAGATCGTGACCCGACGTGAACGGATACTCGATGCGATGCCTACATTCAAGTATAACAAAGTTACTGGATGAGTTTCTCGAGTAAGGGTAATCCCCTCTCATATGCGGCTATATTCACTGTAACGCTAAGTCGTGCAGGTAAACGGTAAATTGACGAGTGCTTGAAATCTTCCTTAATTCACACCTTATATACAGGAATCGATACGCGAAACGATACCGACACGGATGATCCTCAACTTTTAACTAGCCTAATCTTGTATCAGACTGGAACCATCTAACGTGAACCCATGGAACAAGATTGTTGCTCTCTCTAGCTAACGGTAATATTGTTCAACATCCACGACCTGTACCCTTCGGCTGTACACTATCTATCCTGTGGTAATTCTTTTTTTGTTTTCATCCCGTTCCGTCCTTCTCGACTAACCTACTCGAAACTTCTCTACCGTTCTGTGCCCAGTCTCCTCTAGTCGAATATTTCGATCAGAGCCGTGGAGGCGCGCGACCAAACGTCCGCAGTTTACTTTCCTTCGACCAGCCGATAAAAGAGAAATAAAGCGGCTCTATTAGCATACGATTGGCACCGTCCATCTTAATGCCCTACCGGGTCCCGGGCTTTCTCTTGGTGTGCGTATCTTGCAACAATGTTTATGCCCGTGTTCCTGGTGTCTCGACTGTAAACCGCGCACGCGCCCCTGCCGCTGAGTTACTGAGCCCATACGGGCTCATGCGAACTCTCCTTGCCGAACGAGTCTGCTGTCGGTATCCCCTGCGTACACGTGGGGGACCATGCATTGTACGAATATGAATGCACTCGATACACCTTCAACAGGGCCAAATTATGCCAACGAATACACATACAAGAACACTCACGCTTGTCCATCGCGATGAGTCAAAATAATATAAAATAATAATAACAATAATGCAATGTCTCTCTGACGTTGCCTTTTGTAATACCTCACGTAAAACAAAAACTTTGTACTCTGAAGCGTAAATACCTTCTTCAATATTTCCCACCAATGGATAATACGTTCCGCGGACAGTCATATCTAAACAGGAAACAAAATTGGTTTTCTTACTAAAAAAACTTCCTGGGTCAGTTCATATACTTATTGAGGATGACGGTTAATGACGGTTATGATACGTGCGACGGACGATGAATTCTCCAGGCACTTGCACGACCGAGGTGAAACAAATTTTTGTCCAATTAAATTAATGATAATAAGAATTATTTTATTCTGGATATTCTGTGTGTCGATGGGCTCGTTATTTGACTTGATGCTTTGGCAGTCACAGATAATGGCGGATCCACGCAGAGGCTTCGCAGAGCAGACGTGGCCGTAGGCCGGCTCATCGTTATTCAATAACCTCGCAAGGGCGGTGCTTTTCATGGCTCGGCCACAGCCGCGAACTTCGCGCATTCCAATCTTGTAGCTTTCGTAAGGACAATGCGCGTGTAAGGGCTTTCGGCAACGTGCTAATGATAAACGTTGAACGATAGACGCGCGAGGACGAGGAGTAAACGAAAAACAAGAAAAAAGGAATAAGACGAAAAAATATTAAATCCAGCAATATTGCACTTTAGAAAATGCATATGGATCCTTGACAGTAGGCATTTTGCTGGACAGGTGATTTTTACCTGATTTATAAAAAAAAATCGAACGTGCATCGAACCCGAAAAAATCATGAGATATTTGGTATCCTGAAAAATCTCGTGGTTTACCAAAAATCCGGTTTGGCTAAAATGAATAGAAAGAAGCGCGAGGCGGGTAGTAAGGGAGTAAGCAAAAAGAAAGTAAAATGCACGTAACAGCACGTTGCGGATAATATACGGTAAAATTCACGACACTTTAAGCGGAGCGATGGCCCCGGGCCAGATAGATCCCTATCGTCGGGAAGTCTCCTGAAACGAAGGAAGAGACGATACAAGAACGTACCAAGGGTTTGTCCTCTCTTCCGGAGCATACTTTTTTATTTTATTTTATTACGAAGCTTTATAGTCGGGAACGAAGGGCCACGACGATCTGCAACCCAAACCCCATGCTGCCAAACACATTTAGGGCTTTATCGTGTTATGTCAAGTCACGAACTCGTTATAGCGCCGCGAGAGACGAATCGCCATTGCGGAACTACTCGGTTTTACTTTATCCCTTTAAGAGCCGTTCCCTTAACTGGTTTACCTACATTATATTTATAACTACAACGTTCGACTTATAATCTCTTTTTACGACACGTACGGCAATCGATTATACCTGCATCCTGACACTGACTCTAAATGCTGTGGTTACGCTGGGTTTTTATAACGAGTATGATAACGCAGGTAGGATCAGTAAAATCAAGTAGTAGTCAGTAGATACACGCATACAGTGCACCTGGCACTTTTGGATAATTGCTATACGCGGAACAATTTTTATTTCAAGAGAAATTATTACTGGCTATATGCTATCCGATATCCGAGAAATTAAGATTGATCATGAATTTTCAAGTGTAGTTTGACATCGGCTATTTTTGAAAGTTCAAAATTTTACTAAAATTCTTGGGTTCGTGTTCATTGAAAATTGTATATACGAATAAAATTTTTAACGCGATGTTAGGCTCATCAAGATTCTCGTTAGCTAATTGTAGAATGTTATACGGGAAGTAAAAGTTGGTCAGATCCAGGTTCGCACGGCTAAGTATAATGTATAAGCGTATTCCTTGACTCTGGAAATAATGACGGATGAGGTTTAGTGAAAAATAAAAAATTAATGTAAAGTTTCTGCTCGCGTACCGGTTTTGTAATAACTGTAATGATGATCCTTTGACCGCGTTCACAATGTTTCTCAGAGGGAAGCCGTAAAGCGGCATCGCAGAAATTATCGGGAATCCGACGAAAGGGGACGCGCGCCGTCGTGTTGGCGAGACTAGAAAACGTGAGAGATGCCAGTATGAGGAGGGCAATTCGAAGCAGTGAAAAATGGCCAATGAACGGCTCCGCCGCTGCCGTCGCCGTCGATATAGCTAGCGTCGATTTCTATGCACCGAAACGCCATAGGGCACTCGCTGCGGGACACCCATGCATCATTCGGAAGAAGCACATTTCGTATGCGCCTTTTCAAAGTACGCGTTCCAATAATTGCGTCAAGTCCGTCTAAAATTGCGTAAAACTTTATTGTCCTTGATGAACCTCCCGTATAATTGAATCGATCGGAATTTCATAAAAACATCGAAAACAACACAGTTCGCGCCGGCATCCACGTGAGAATCGATATATTTCGATATGAAAAAAAAAAACCCTATCACTCCTCAAATAACGCAAATTGCCTTAATTTTATCTCAATCTCAAACACGCGTGGAATTTTGTTTCTCAGACGTTACATTCGGCCGAATAAGAGTATCGTAAATATTGGACGAACGGCGAACTAGACGTGTTCCGTTAATGTTATTCGAGTATCGTATCTCATTTATTTTATACGACTGGTTTCCCACACGAGATACACGGATTCTGGTAAAGATTTGCAAAATCTGTTTTGATTCCGCAGCAATATCACAGTGATCTTCTCTCTCTCTCTGTCCCTCTCCTACTTCTCGCTAGAGAAAGTTTAAACTTTCTAAGACTAATTAAACTCTTCGATAAGGAATTTCTACGTTTTTAGACATTCCTTAATTCCACCATCCATAATCAGCACTGTTTTCATGCGTCCCACAGAACGAACCGAGTCTCGTACAGAAAAAAAGCGGAAGCCACGTGGACCCGTACGTTTCCTGATTACGGAAGAGACCGACTGACTGACTATCCTGCCCCGACGTCCCGAGCCAACTGAGCGCACCATCCCGCAGGACGTAACCCAATAAAAGTGAAGAAACAAACTGATCACAGGATAAGAGAAAATTTACGAGGTGATATTCCGTAAGCCGCGATCGAGTCAGTTCGACGGATTGGAGGGAACTGGTATGAGGTGGCTGGTCGGCATGCGGAAGAGGCCAAAAAGAAGGAAACGTCAAAGTAGGAAGAAAAGGAAAGAAGAGAGCTCGGGTATATAGGTATAGGAAAGAAAGGTAAGAGTAACAGTTAAGTCTATTGTAGGCTCTAAAGATTTTATGACTTTTTCGCTAAAAAAGGCCAAAAAAAATAAAGCTAACGGTCCCAGGGTAACTGCAAGTCATAAAGCGTTTTATAGGTTTAGGTGAGGCCCCAATCGTACCGGGGTCCCACTGGCTTGGCGCATCTCTTTTTTCTTTCTTTTTTTTTCTTCCTCTACCGGGTATATGAACAAGTGAACCTTCTCGCACGGCCACCTACACTGCGTCGGCATCAGGAACGTGCCTAGAAACTGTTCCTCAGTTTTATTACCGCTCGAGTCAAAGTGCCACACTATGGGTGTAATACACAGCTAGGTATAGATATATCTATATCTATGTACAGAAAGAAGGTTGCAGGTACTTGACGTTTTCGCAAAGTCAAATAGCCTTAGAATAACCATGTCGTGCGACACTCTCGTACGGGTTACGTGGATGTGTGTCTCTATATACTCGTCCCCGGGTACAAATTTGCATAATACCGCATAAGAGCGACATACAGGCCACGGTGTAATATACAACGTGCCGTTCGATGCGAGACTACTCTTAGCCCATAGTAAATCATAGAAATGGCTACTCGCATTCCTAGAGGAAACCTGTTCCGCGTGAAAAGATCGCGGCCGATCTCCGCTTCTTCGCTGTGAACCTAATGAACGTTACTGCTTCGTGGCCATTTTTAACGTTATCGTCATCATCGACGATTACGTTTCGTACCGTACCGCCTTCTGGTTCCTTATCGGACGCCATTATTTTTACATTATCGTCTTTCATCGAACTCACCACCTTTCCCTCGTGCGTGCTTTTTTCAAGCACGTTTTATCCATTTGCTTTGATCTTCGCACACGACACGTAATTAATACGCCTTCAGTGTATGTATAGCATATATCAACATAGTCAACATAGTCAAATCCTTACTCAATATATACATATATGTTTAAGGGCGCATCCACAATAGGTAAATTTTGTACGGTGGATCGTTATCCAGATAACGAGATAATTTTAATAAATTGAAAAATTCCTGGGAATATTTCGATGACGCAGGATGTAGGTACACGACATACTGGATACCCTAACGCTGGAGTATAGGTAAGCGAGGGTAATGGCGCGAAACAAACTGCTGTCCGCGGTTAAGCTCGTAACGTTCGTTCTCGGTGGCCTAATAGCATTCGCCGCGTTAATAAATACGTCGGCAGAGCGATCCGTCATAAGTTCTGTGCGCGCGCCACAATCGGCACGGACATTTCAGTTGACTTCGCAAACGTTAACTGCCGCTGAGTTACGTGGCGCTTAAAGCCAAACGCTTAATCGCGCAACAATCCTGCCGTTGACTCCCGCCGCGTGCATATTGATAAAACGGCCGCTGTAACACGTGGTGAATGTATAATTTTGTAAACAAAACGAATATATACATTTATTCGCGAGAAAGACCGAGACGCGTGAGTTATTCGTGAACTGTCATTGCGTAACACGTGTATACGCGTAAACAGGAGCACGTGAAAATATAAAGATCGAAATATAAATAGGATCACCTCGACTTAAGACCAGCCACAATACATCTGCGCGCATCCATTCGCACACCTAATTCCGTTCTGTGTCATAAATTTTATTACGTAACGTTATCGCATACCACTCTTTTTTTCAGCACGATGAAACCAGAACGCCGTAGTGGCTAAGGTCACAGGGTAAAAGGGAGCTTTCGAGAGGGGATAAAATTAGAATGCCCGTGCACGTAGAGGCATGAAAATTTACCTGAGTACTTGGAGCCACGTTAAAATTTCGTGACTGCCCGTAGATGGGGCGAGTCGTTGTAAAGTCTCTTCAAGGGCGGCCATTTTTATTGCACCAAAAGAAAAAAAAGAAAAAGACAATATAGGTATCCCAGAACAAGTTGGCATTTTTCGTCACAGTTATCAGTGACTCGGTTCTCCCGTGCTCCAATATGTCTATATCAGCTGTTTTGGTCCGCTTTACAAGCGACGAGTTCACTGGA